AGAAAGAGTAGAAAATCTAAATATTCACTGATAACATATGGTGCCCCTGGGGGGCCAAAGGGTCTAGAAAAGAAGGGGTTAGTTTGATGAATGCCAGGGGCTAATTATCAGATTGCAAGAACTTTTGGGGGAACCTGTTAGTGCTAGCCTGATACATTTTTCATACCTAGAGGGGGGAGGGGACAGCAAGAGCTTCAAATGAGCCCCTGCAGAAGGCCTGGGGTTGGTTGCTAGAGTTCGTTCTGTGCTGGAGAGTCTGCTTTTTCAGCTTACGTCCTAACTCTTGGCCTGTTGAGTTATTCACACTGTCTGTCCACTGTCCACCAAGGGGCCTGGCCGTGGCTCCCTTTCCTTGAGCTATGTACTTTCAACCAGTTTTGAGCAGCCCCATTTCAGATTGGCCTTTTTATGTTTGATATAAAGAATAGTTGTTGGCCAATTTCATCTTTTCATCGCTGTTCTCTAGGCCTGGATCCAAGCAGTTTGTCAGATGCTCATTAACTCCCCTTTTGGCTCTTTCTAGTGTGTCTCCTAAGCTCATTGTGCCAAGAACTAACGCTTTCTTTTACACGATTCTCTTTCTGTGCTCCATCAGGGAGACAAATTACTTTCCAAAAGGGATCGCCAGGGATGGTTTAATGAGAATTTCTCTGGGGCTAGGCATGGAACGCAATGTAGTTAACATTCGGTGGACTTAATTGGACTTTTCTTTTCTGCTTCTTTTTTTAAAAAAAAAATCTGAAGCTATCCTGTTAATCTCTCATTTGTAATCAATTGTGTTGACTAAACAAAAGTCTAGGTCGTCTTTTCTTCATGTCCCAGACAATCCTTTGTTGCCTCTAAATGCCTCATTCTTGAGTGATCCTGGTCGCTAGATGGGCCCGATTGTTGACAGTTCATTATTGCGCTTTTGTCCATTTAATCTTTCTTGCTGTGTTTTGCATGTGCATGCCTTAATGAGCTCCGTTGGCAATTAACATGTTTCTGGGAGCAAACTGGTTGCTCAGACGTTTGAGGGGAAGTGCAGGGAAAAGGGCAACGCAGCTGCCTTGAGGTTGTTTATTTCCCAGCGTTTTCTCAAGACTCCCAGTCCTCTCTTTGGCAGCCCCCCACCCTTCCTCGCCTGGCCCCCTTCCCTCCCCCAGCCCAGTCACCATCAGCACACCTGGACACCTCGGCTGCAGTAACTCTTGGGACTAGCTCAGGCAACCTCTACCTCCTCGGGAGCCAAACATCAAAATGGGGCCCCTGTAGACCCACTGCAGCAGCCAAGACAAGAGTGAGCACAGTATCCCCAAAATGTGTCTGGATGCTGGCAACATCTCGGTGTCGCTCTTTGCAGAGAGGAACCTCTAACCCGCCTAAGGCAATAGGACTGTACAATCTGTTATGTACAAGGCTGTGGCTTTGGAAGAAGGCTTTTTTTTTTTTTTTGAGTCTTGCTGGCAAGATTGCTGAAGTGTGAGCAGTCATGGACAGAACAAACATCTTGTAGGGGAAAAGATAATTGGAGTCTTTTTTGTGTCTGTGACAGGATTCCCCTCCCCCGCAATTTGAGTTTTTAAAAATTTTTTTTCAGAATGGCCTCTTCAATTTAATCAAGGTTAGAATATTAATATGCAGCTGATGACTACCTTGTTTAAGTCATTTATTAATATTGTAAACTACAAGTCATGCAAACAGTTTAATATTAAGAGAAAAAAATCAGAGAACACACAGCCTTTCACCCATCAATTCCGATGCATGGTGAATAAGAAGGAACCCAGCTAAGATGGTTACTGAAGAAGCTTAGTGCTGGCTTCAGAACATGTGCTGGCTGTGGAAGGTGTTTCGAAATTCAGGCAGAAGGTTCCTTCTCTCCTTTCACTATTTTTCAGGTAAGAAATCCTTCTTTCCTGGATCCCATATCTAAAGATAACAGACATCCTAAACCCTTGACTTCAAACCCCGGGAAAGCACAGCTAAGCCTTAGAGATGCCAAAGAACTGTTTACCTACAATTACTATCAGATGTGAAATAACACCTTCTCAGGTGAGAGCGATTGACAGAAGCTGGTGTGAAGGTTAAGTAACAATCAAGTTAGGAGGAAACAACCTCAAGGAGGCTGGAGTGTGCAAGAAACTGCACAGGTATACTCCTGAGCCACGCTACCCAACTGCACAGATGAGCAGTCCAAGAGAGTTATTTGCTGCCTAGCTAACAAGGCAACAGTCCCCACCCCTGTCAAGCTGGAAACAAGTTTCTTCAGTTGCTGAGATGGGAGACCCAGTTAATTGCCTATGAAACTTTATTTCAGAGGACTTTTGTAAAGAAAGTTATTTCACTTGATGGTTGAAAAGTTATCTCCCTGGATGGCGTGCTCCATCTTCTCTTCCTTTATCTTTTCTTCTTAAGGAGAACACCACCGTGATTTCCACCTGCAAGCCAACTTCCCCCTCTCTTCTTTAAAGGATGCTCTTGTACTAGATATCCCTGTGGGTGGGTCTGCCCTGGCCTGAAATTCTGGAGCTATTTAAGAAGGTTGACTTGCCAGGATGGGATCTCCAAGGAGCGCATCTGAAAAGGACCCTCTCCAGAGAGAGGAAAGGATTTGTGTTGAGATGACTGTCATAGAGCACACAGATGTCCCCAGAACTGAGGGGGGTGCGGGGTGTCGGGCCAGGCTAATACAACACTATGAGAAAAAGTGAAGGGCTGACTCCTTCAACGTTAGGCAATCTCTCCCGATATAAACGTCTGCGAAGGGCAAAATGTTCATGTCCTTAGCCGGCCGGTCCTCCTCGTCCATCCTGGGGTTTCCTTGGGTTTCGAGCACACACTGAGATTTTGGAGTTAAATCTGCATATTCCTGTGGGTCCCAATCTCCCCTCAGCGAACTGCAGCCAGAAACGAGATAGCATTTAAATTCCCCCTAGCTTCCTCGTCCCCCCTCCCCTGGCTGCGTCTTCCCAGACTTGAGGGGAGGGTGGGGAGGAATACAAAAAAACGAGGACGCTCTCCTTTCAGGAAATGGAATTCTAATGTACGCGTTCCTATTTCTGAATCGGAGGTACTAAAAATACCCCCGCGACAGCCTGAGGAAGCTGTCGCTGTCCTCTGTGCAAACAAAATCGACAATTCTCCTTCCCTGCGCAATGGGTCTTCGAATTGGGAGGGGGCCGGGGACAGAACCGTTGGCAGTGACCAGGATAGATCTTCCACCCTGCCCCCAACCCCAGACTTTCCCCAGGGCCCAGTCGCAAGATTCCTCCTTCACCATTTAGGATGGAAGGCAGCGTTGGTCTCCTAGAAGCCCTAAAGAGTTTGCATCCCTGCCCCACCTAGCTCTCTGACCTCGGGCATGTTATGGAGCTGGTCTGTGCCTCAATTTCTTCCTCCGAAAAATGGGAATAATCGTTCCCTAGCTAGCAGGTTGTTGTCAACCCTAAAGAGACTGTGTCGAGTGCCTGGATTGGAACAAGTGTTTGGGAATCAAGAGTTTTTTCTCTTGTGGAAACCACTGGCGCTCTCAGCAATGAGTGCCTACTGTATACCCACGCGTTGGGCTAACCTGCACTCAAGCTACTTTCACAGTTACTTGGGCGGGATTACCCTTTGCATCAACCGTCTTTCCTTCAAATAGCCGCTGCCTGCAGTGGAAATCCGCGTGGGGTCAGCGCCCAGCTGTCGTCGCTCCCTCAACCTTGAGGCTGCGTGGAAGTGCAGTCCTGGGCCCCGCGCCGCATTTCCTCCCGGCGCTGGGGAACATTGTTCTAGAAGACGTGGGCTGCATTGCGGCGCAGATATTAAAAGAGTGGGGGAGGGCCAGGGGGGCACCCGGCTCGACGCGCCAGTAATCCGAGCTCTTGATTATCCAGATTCGGATCAAACGGGGTGGCGGCGGCCGGCCCCCTCCTGGGAATGATTAGATGATTAATGTAATGCTGTTTGAAGGGTCTCTGTTTTCTCTCTTAATTTGGGTCATTACTTAGAAAGCAAGCGTGAGATCATTTCATCAGCGTGCTCGGCGCGGAGATAGCTATTCAGGAAATGGGCTAACTGCGCGGTAATCAAGACCCAGGAGGCGACTGCGGCGAGCTCCGGGAGTCCGGGCGCGCCCTCCCGCGGCAGGGCGCACTGCACGGGGAAGCCAGCTCCAGACCAAGAGCGCAGGCGGGGGAGCCCCGGAGCTCCGGCTAGGCTGGGGACCCTTTAGCCTCCAGCTCTCCGCGCCAGGGGAGGTTGGGAGCGGTGGCTGTCCTTCCCATGTTGCCCTGGGGAAGAGACGTGCCCAGAAGCGCCTGGGCGAACCTGGTCTTTTACTCTGCACTGTGCGCAGCCTCTGAGCGAGGACTCACCCAAAAGCTGCTCCCCCAAATCCAGCCAATTTTAACTCTTTAAAATTATTTTTTCTTACCCAAATAAGGCAACACCCAGAATCCCAAGCGTCTGAACAGTCACCAAATAAAAACTTGGTACCTTGTGGAGGTCTATGTAGGCCTTTTGGCCTGCTCCCTGGTGGCTTAACACCCAAGCACTAGGGAAGCACCTGTTTGGTCTTATCCTGGCCCCTGTGCCCCAGAGGAAGTCGCGTTTGGGAAAGGAAATACTACAAACGCCAATTACCATGTTACCATCTCGTGCTTTGGAGTTGTTGCTCTGACCTCGCGGTGAGGGGATACGGGGAAAGAAAACGCGCACTAGTGATTCTTTTTATTGAGTCATAGATGTGTATATATTCTGTGTTGGCTTGTACAGGAGGAATTACATGGCTGTATAAAGATGGCTGGGGCGCCACGCTCTTCTGGGGGGCTCTTACCGTGACAAGCTGGGGTTAAAAACCGGCTGCCCGAAGAGAAGCCGAGGCCTGTAATTAAATACGTATCGGCGCACTGGATTTAAATAAGTTTCCTGAATATACAAAGGTGGGAGCCACGAGTTTGCTGCCAGTCATCGAGGAAACGTTTAACTTTCCAAAAATATGCTGGTTTCGATAAATAGATATTTTTTAGCCTCTCTGCTATAGTTTTTTTTTTCTTTTAATTTTAGAAATAAGTTTATACGTGTGATCTGTTTTGGGTCAGTACAGGGCAGGAAGGGAGGGCAAGGCAGTAGCTCTCAGCTCTGCACTGTCCTAGTCAGGTCCTTTGCGGAGGGGGCGGCGGGGCCGACGCTGTCGTGGAGTTTGCGCACGTGTTTCTTTAAGTCAAAGTTTCTGCAAAAACCTTTGCCGCAAGTGGCGCACGTGAAAGGCTTCTTGTCATTGTGGGTGTGCATGTGGAAAGTCAGATTGTAGACCTGGTGGAAGGCCTTGTTGCAGATTGTGCATTTGTACTGCTTCTCGCCGCTGTGGGTCAGCTTGTGGTTCTTGTAGTTCCCTACAGGAGACCAAAGACAAAAAGTAGGGGTATGGAGTGGAAGGAGGGGGCCCGGGCATCCCGGGGGCGGCTCAGGTGCCCGTGCAAAGAAGGCGACGCTTGGCTAGGCGGGCACGACCTCTCCGAGTGAAGAAGTTGTCAAACTTCGTCTGTGTCAAGCCCAGGGCACTAGCGAAAGGACCGAGAGTCGGGTCTTGCAGAGCCGGCCCTGGCCCCTGTCCTGCCGGGTACAGAGGCACAAGAAGCCTGCCTCCTGCGGCGCCCTGCCGGCTGGGAAACTTTTGTTCAGCCCGGAGAGGCACCGGATTCTTCTAGCTCATGCCTCGCTGGAAGAAATTCGCACGAATCTAGGTTTCATCCCTCGTTTCCTTCCCCCCATCCCCGGCTCATTTTTAAAGTTACTCACTTCCCATCCCCCAGTGACCACCTAGAGATCCAAAAAGTGCCTTAGAAATTCCAAGCCTGAGGGCACTGGGGACTGAGACCAGTTTTCCCCCAGTCCTAATTTTTTTCCAAGAGATAGATTTTGTTTAGATTTTTTTTGGGAGTTGTTTTTCATTTGAAAGGGGAGTTGACTGCAAAGAGAACCTTTTTCTGGCGGGCAATACTACCTCTTTTTCCTACTTCCTTTTCTTCTGCCCCCTCCCTTCTTTCCCTTCTCCCAAATTCAGAGTATCCCACTGCATTCAACCTGAATCCATCGAGATCTACTAACCCAGCCCCGAGAACATCCACCTATACCCGGCACAACCAAAGAACTGCTGCTCCCTAGCCTTCGGCTTTTGTGCTGCCTCTCTACACCGCTCCCTCCCCTCCTCACAGGCGCGACCCGCTAAGTCCCGAGGTGAGGTGAAGAGAGGGCCTGCCAGCACATTACCTTTTTGGTGAAAGCCTTTGCCGCAAAATTCGCAGACGAAGGGCTTGTAGCCCGCGTGGATGCGGATATGCGTGTTGAGCGTGGAGCTGCGGTTGAAAGCTTTGCCGCACTGGTTGCATTTATGCGGCTTTTCCTGTGGAGAAGGGTGCGCGCACAGTAAGGCTGAGACCCAGGGAACTTTCACCTCGGGAACAGCTCGAAGGGACACAGCATCCCCGGGAAGGGTAAGGGGAAATCCTTGGCCATCCGATGCTCAAATCGCTCACACTTAGGGCTGGGGTGGGGGTTGTGCGCGGGCCGGGCCTGATGGGCGGGGAGGGGGGCACGTACCTGGGTGTGGATAATTTTGTGCCTGCAGAGCGTGCTGGCTTGGCGAAAGCCTTTACCACAGACTTTGCACACGAACGGTCTGGCTCCGGTGTGAACCGGCATGTGGCGGGTGAGGTTATAGTGAGCGTTAAACACCTATGGAAGGACAACAGGGTATGCACCGGCCGAGGGCCTACAATCAGCCCCAGGAGGCCATGGTTTACCTCCCCCAACCAACACCTACTTCAGAAACTAGGCCCTTTTGTAAAAGTGCTTTCCAACCTGCTGCATACACCAATACTGCGTGGCCACTGACAACGCCAGTCCCATTTTACAGACCAGGAAACTGAGGCCCAACTAGGTATCCAGTTTGAGTATACAGCTATTGGGGAGTTCCTCAGTCTGAAAAAGGGGTGCTCAACGCTGCCCCAGGGGAGCAGTCCCCGCTGGTCGCCCCTCCCGGCCCTGAGGACCCTGGGCCTCACCTTGCCGCACACCTCACAGGTGAAGTTTTTGGGCTTGCCGTCCGTGGAGCCCCCAGGTAACTTGCTGTGGCCCTTGACGCCCCCGCGCTCGGCGGTCAAGGCCGAGTTCTCCTTCAGCACCTGCTCCAGCGGCGCTGGCAAGCGCTCCTTATGGGGATAGGGAGCTGGATGGGGGAACTTGTCCGCAGCCAGGCCGGCCAGTTTGGCGTTCTCCAGCAGAAAGAGCTTAGGGTGCGCAGCTAGGGCTGCGGGGGCCTGCGCGTTGAGGAGGCCAGACGGGAAAAGGTGGCCGCCGAGGAGCTCAGAAGGCGGGTAAGCGGCGGAGTCCAGGTAGTTGAAGTAGTAGAGCGAGCCGCTGGCCGGCAGCCCCACGGCCTGGTTGATGACCTGCGGCTTGATGACCCTGCCCGCGGGCAGCGCAGACGGCGCGAGGCCCAGCTCGGCCTTGCAGCACACGCCACAGTTGGTTTTGCACAAGCCGCTGGCGCCGCACACTGGGGCCCCCCCGCCGCTGCTGCCTCCTCCTCCTCCACCGCCGCCCGCCCGGAGGCTGCTTTTCCAGAGCTCCGAGTAACTGAGCAGTGCCTTGGACGGCACCTCGTAGCCTAGGGGCTGGAGAGGGATCATACAAGGCAGCGGCGAGCAGAGGTTGAGCAGTTTCTTGCTCTGGCTGCCGTCCGCCTCTAGCGCCCCGGGCCGGGGCTCAAAGGGCGCGCGGGGCTCCGACGTCTTGGCCATGATGCGCTCGATGGAGAAGGCCAGCGTTTTGGAAGTGGCCGGCGACGCTCCAGCGCGCGGGCAGGCCGGGGGCACCATGGTCTCCAGGGAAGCCGAGCTGGCCATGGCGCGCGGAGCCGAGCCGAGCCGGGCTGGGCCAGGGCACAGCCTCTCTCCTCTAAGTCTGCATTCCGGAAAAGGCAGGGCGGGGGGGGGGGGGGAAACCGCAATTTAATAAGCACCTAGTCGGGCCCGGGTCACCCATTTGCATTCAAATGAACAGAAGCAGAACAAAGTGCACCCAAGGGTACCAAATTACCGCCCATTAACCCGGCTCGAAAAGGTACCCACCAGCCCCTGCCCTGGGACTATAAAAGGGGGAGAAGGGGGAGGCTTTACAATGGAAAAGGGGGGGCAGAAAAGAGCCTCAAGTTAACCCCCCTGGACCCAGGCCTCCGCCACGCGTGCTGGGAAATGGACAGTGAAGGGGCAAAGTTAAAGAGGACCGGGAGAGCCACCTCGCTTTTACCTCTTTCCCCCACCGCCAAGGAGATGCGTTCCGAGCCATGCAGCGTGTCTCTTCTGTCACATTTTGATGGCAAACATCTTCCCCTCCGCGTGAGATCACTGTCTTTTACATTCAGCTGACATCACATGAAGTCACTTGAAGTGGAATGACATGGGCGGCGGCGCGGCTCCCGTAGCGGACCCTGTGTTCCCCCGCGCCTGCCGGCCGCCGCCGCCACCGCCCCTCAAACTTTAAAAGGAGGCAACTGGCGCCCGCGCTCCCCTCGGGAAAGTGCGAGCGGTTTGCGAATCGGGAAGGAGGGAAGAGACGGGAGGGGGGAGGGGGAGGAATCGTGATGGTTTTGCCGGTGGAAGGAAAGGGGGGGGGAGCCAAACCCAAACCTAGACAGAGTTCCGTGCGTGATTCACAACTTTGGGGGCCTGAAGGTTTGGGGGACACGGGGAGGCGGGGGGGTCCCAGACGCGCTGGCCCAAAGGGCCCCTGGGTGTCCGTCTAGTCACCGAAGTATCCCTTAGCCCTCTGCAGCCGAGCTGGGCATCGTGCTAATAAACTGCCATTTACCCACGGAGTCGGCGCCAGCCCCGAACACGCGCAAATGATAATTACCTCATTAGGATGTGGCGCATGGACGCGGGCGTCGCGTTTGGAGGGGGGGAACTTGCTAATGGGGAAATATTAATTTATGCAAAAGCAACGAGCTCTCCTTGGCTGGCGTCGGAGGTCGGGAGAGAGCTCCCGCAGCCTAAGGACGACCTCGAAGCGTCCGGGAGAGCAAGGCCGCGCGCGGGGGACCCCGGGGCCTCCAAGCCGGGCGGGTGCTCCTCCAGCTTTCTGGCCAGCTCTCCGCCCAAGGCTGGGGAGTCTGCAACGGGAGATGGAGGACTATTTGAGTTCCTAATCGATCAGCGTTGCTGATTTATGATCGGGGTTTCTGAGGCAAAGCAGGGCTCTGCGCCTGGTTTAGAGCTGCGTGCGGGAGGATTCGGAGGGCAGCTCTCCCTGCTGATGGGTACTTACTGTTTGTATAATTGAGAAGGTCCAATCTCCACCTGTTTAAGGAGCAGATTGAAACAGCAGAACCTCCCCTGGATCCTATTAAAACGTTTTTCCTCCTAAGGCCATTCAGTGGAACCAATTTTCCGAAGTGATTCATAGAGCTGAATTCTGCCAAGGCAGCTCTTTCACTTTTAGCCACTAAAGCACCGCGTGGAACCGGGTTTTGTGTTTTTCTAAAATAAAGAGAAGGATTATCAGAGGGAAGAGGAGGGGGCCTGAAGGCGGGCGGGCAGAGACTTAGTGTGGCCAGAGGTACAAGCAGAGGGAAGAAAAGGCCCTTTTCTAGACAGGCCCCAAGTAAGTTCGGAGGAATTCAGCGTTTTGTGCTGGCGCACAAAAGCAGCGCGCTCCGCGCTTGGTTTGGAGGGGCTGAATTCATCTGTTTGCAGACCATTCCACCTGCGTATCACAACAAACTGCTCAAAGACGCTCCAGCACTTTCAACAGGCCGGGTGCTCTTGGCGACATCAAAAGTGGTCGAGGCTGAGGGTTCTTGCGGGGGAGGGGGGGTGGGATGACTAGCAAGAGAGCGAGCGAGAGAATTAGGTTTAGGAAAGGAGGAGGGTGTGCAGGGGTTTTTGAAAAACTTTTGGCTGGTTTTGTTCGCGGGACAATTATATCTTGCCAGCCGTCTTTTTCGAGATCACGAGCTTTGTAGCCGCAACCACAGTTTAAGCGGATTACGGTGGGTATAATATGAGCAAACAGGGTTGTGGGTTTGATAGTGAATTCCATCTCCGAAGACACACCATTCTGTGGAGCTGGAGGAAGTGGTGGTGGAGGTGTAGACCCTCTCCTTCTTCGCTCAAGAACAGGTCTTGAAAGGCTGAGTGTCCATCCCATCCCAGGCCCCTCAGCATTGCAGAGGCATCCCTTGGAAACCTATCAAGGGACAGACAAGCAAAGCTCTGGTTTTAACTGCAGGCAAATAACTCCCTTTTCCCCTATCGAACTTCTCTCTCCTGGTCCCCACCCATCCAGTTGTGGTTCCCCTGACCTGACATTTCAGACCAGTTGTGGACATGGCAGGTAGGGAAGGGGAAAGTACACTTGGAAAGCAAGAAAAGGGGGAACAAAGGGTCTCTGAGGAAAAGTGGTTTGGAGAGGAGGGGGGCTGTATGTAGTAGGTTAATATTCTTATCCTGCCAAGGTCTGAAACTACTCTTAAATTTAGCAATCATTACTCTATTCCCTCACCACCCCCCTGCAACTTCCAGATTTCCAAGCTAGAGAGACACTTGCCCCGACTGGAGAACACTTCCATACAGCAATTTGGGACACGTTCACAGACTGAATTCCAGACCCAATGTACCCCCATCCCTATGTTAATGTGAACACATAGATTAATCTCCCCTCCCACCAAATATGAAACAAACCACTCACCCCAACACTGAAACAAAATCAATACATCCGCAGCCTCTCAAAACCTGAATTTCTATCCCGACTTTCCTGTGGATCCCTTTCGCCACCAACATCACACCCCAACCCTTTTTCCAAATTGGGTAATTGTTGATCTCCGCAGCAGCTGAGGGGTCTGCTGGTTTGAAAGCTCCATGGGCTGAAAGGCTTCCAAGGGCTTCCCGTGAACCTGCCTTGCCATCCCTAGAGCTTTCTGCGGTTGCATAAGCCATCTCTCTCTCTCTCTCTTTCTCTCTCCCGGCATCACAAAGCGGTGCTACCTCCACAGGAAGAAAACATTTGGGTAAAAACAAGTTGCCCCCAATGTGCCCCTCTTTCCAATGTTGGGTGCATACACAGGCTTTTATGAAAGTATTTAATTAGCTTCTACAAACTTCTCCTTCCCTCGCCTGCAGATTATATTGAAGTGGAGGGTTGGAAACTATTTTACACCTTGCCACTCACATGTTAATTAATCTCTATCTAACCCTAATTGCAGTTTATTCAAGCACTGCTCAACAGCTCACCCACACAATAAACACTGATCCTACTTTTATACATATTACTTCACGTTAACACATTGAGTAATTAACTCCAGTACCAACTAATAGTGCAAACAAATATTTTCTGTAAACGAGATGATTTCAGGCAGAATAATAGAAGACGGGGGAACCGTGGTGCATGGTGGAGGAAGTGCTGAGATTTTCATTCCTTGCCCCCTAACCCTCCAAATTCATTCTCCTAGGAGTACCATTTTTTTTTAGGCTAAATTTTTTTTTAGGGTGGACAACTCTAGAAATTAAAATCTCAGAATTTTAGGATGTTGGTAGAGGGGTTCTGTGGAATTAGGGATGACTTCTTCCACCTGTACATTTTCGGTGTGTGTGGGTGTATGGGGAAATCCCTACGCAGGTGATTCAGGGATGTTGCTTTATTCAAGGAAAATAAAGTTTTCTGAAACCTTCTGCTCTGACAAGTCCTGTTCTTTAAATGGTATTTTCTAGTAGGAGCAGGCAGAGGGTTTGGTGACTTTCTGGAACTTCCAGACTCTGTTCAAACCCAGACTAGTATACAAGTTCCATCTTGGACGTGCCTGTGCCTTGGGTTTGAAAGACAGACATAGAGCGCCTGATCAGAAGGCCTGTGGTCACGGCCCAAGTCCGGCCTACTGGGCGGCAGCACGTGCTTGGCCCGAAGGCTGGATTCCCAGAAGCCTTGGGACAAACCCTAGACACCCAGGCCTTCGGCAGTCAGCCTAGTTCCACTACAAGCGGAACAGCCCACTACTCAGAGCAGTGGGGCAGGCACCCACCACGGGGTCTTCCTCAGTCTTAGGCCTCTGCTCCAGGCCTGCCTCCCTCGGAGAGCCCCAGCCAAAGGCAGGATGCTTTGGTTTCTACACCATCTGGCCTTAAGGAAAGCCAGAGTTAGGCCTGAAGCCCGTACGTGGCCTGTACCCTTCCCAAACTGCTGCAGAGCAGGGGACCGAGCCCAGGCACCTCCGTGGCTCTATGGGGCCAGATCCATGGCCAAGTGATGCCACACCCCGGCCAAGCCCGACCCCAAGGACTGGTACACAGTTTTAATTGAAATCGTAGGCTTAAGCCCAGCTGGCAACTGTCTATTGATTTACAGTAGCTTCTCTTGTAGGACACATATTAAATATGACTGGTCACACTAGGACTTCGCCTCTCCTCTCACCCCTTCCCTCTGACAGGTTTATGGTTACTAACCCTGTAATAATGACTTCGTTAAATTTTTTTTATATAATGCCAGAAGTCGCCCACACTTTAGGACAAATTACTTAGCAGATGCCTTCCCAAAATGTAGACAACCTCAGAGGAAAATCCCTTTCCTGTGCTCACACATTTGTACCACTCCTGGCAACAGGGAAAGACAAGCATTTCCTTCCATTCCAATAAGATACTGGGATTCCCACCTCCGTGGCTGTGTCTCTTGGTTCTGAATAACAAAGGATGCTATTATTTTTAAAGCACTATTATGTTCTCATCTGATTGCTATATGTACTACATGGTCCAAAGCCGCTTCTCCTGGAAGTTGAGCAGCATAGGGAGAGAGGCACATTCTGCTGAGTTTGAGCAAGCAGGCACTGGGGAGATTTGATGTTTTTACCTTACCACTCTGGTTTGTTTGGGGGGAGGTGGTGGGAGCTAACCCAACCCTCCCCCCCAAACTTTATGATTTAAGGCCTGTGCTACCCTCCTTCCCTCCTCCCTCCCTACTGTGCTCCCTCCGTCCTGTCCTCTCTCCCTCCCTCCCTCCTTCCTTCCTCCCTCCCTTCTTTCCTTCCTTCCTTCCTTCCTCCTTCCTTCCTCCCTCCCTCCCTTCCTTCCCTCCCTCCCTCCCTTCTTTCCTTCCTTTCCTTCCTTCCTTCCTTCCTTCCTTCCTTCCTCCCTCCCTCCCTCCCTCCTTCCCTCCCTCCCACTCTCCCTTCCAACATTTAAAATCCGATTCACTTGCTGTTGCAATTAACCGCTGCTGAAAATAGATTAACTTTTGAAGAGAAATCCTTCTGCAGTCCTCTCTTTCACCCCAGGAAGCATTTTATTGAAAACATTCCAACAGGCTTGCCCGTGGTAGGCCTGTCCAAGACGCCGGGCCTCTGCCTTCGGTGAGTGCTGTTCTTAGGATTAGTGCTGTGGAGAAACAAAGAGCCCTAGACTAGATACCCTGGCCCAGAAAGGTCAGGAGCGCTGGAAGAGTTCCGGGTTTCAGGTACTGCACGGTCCCAGGCCTGGACCACTAAGGACAGATGGGCCAGAACCATCTTCATCTGTTCACATCCT